CCCCCCCCCCCCCCCCCCGGCGATCATCGTCAACAACAATGGCTACTCCCCTCTTCTTCATGGCGGCAGATCAAAACCCAGCTGCAAAACCACCGGGAGTACTACTTCCCCTAAACACCCATGTGGTCGGAACCGGCGAGATCCGGTCGGAGCCTCCGAGGAGCCGTGGTCGAAAACCAGGCTCCAAAGCGGCTCTGAACCAGAAGAAGATCAGGCAACGAGGGATGGGCGTGGCTCAGCTCGAGCGTCTCAGGGAGCAAGAAGAGAAGAAAATGGCGGATACGTCGTCGTCCACAATGTCAAACCCTAATACCCGTTTGCCCGTACTCGACCCGGTCGTCTTCGGTTCTTTTCCTGTGCTGCAGGGCCTACCGAGCTGCGGTGGACCCGCAATTTGCCCCGTTCCGGTGGTGCCCAAGATCACCGGGAGCTTCAGCAGGTTTGCTGGGTTCTGTTGTGGAACCGGGTCTGGTCAGATTCTGATCGACCCGGCCCCGGTTTATTCGTCGGAGACTTGGGGTTTTGCTGAGACCTCGAAAGAGCTCTCTTCAATGCCAAAACCACATTTATATAACTGCTCCGATCGCTGCGAGGTTTGCTTCAAGGTCTAGTCTCCTTCCTTTGTTCTTCTTTTTCACAGTCCGTGTTTGGCAAGTGACAAAAACGAGGGAAAATGGCCAGAAAGTCATCATTCAAAACGATTAATGATCTGGGTACCTTTTAAAAAACGTTGTACCATGTTTGGAGTTGGAGGGCTTTTCTGATCTTGTTCTTGCGTGTTCATTTACATGCCGATGCAGAAGAAACGTCACGGCGGGATTAGCAAATACGGGATGATATCTCCGATGAACGGCCACGATGCGCCGGTATTTGTCCAAGAGAGGAATATTCCCAGAATAGGCTATGATCATAGCGATGGATATCTTGCAAGAGCAACACTCCCTCCTGGTTCGCTAAATTGCTCCAATCCATGTGTTAATGAGGTCAGAAATCATACGGTCACTCCATTACATGTATCTATACGTGTTTGTTTGTTATGTATGCTTGTTGATCCCATTGGGTTTAGGGATCAATGGAGATGCTGGGGAGCTACGTGAGAGGAAACCCTAGAAATGGAGGGCATATCCCGCCCAAGGAGTACGAGTTTTTCCCGGGAAAATATGAGAATTTCTCGGGAAAATATGGGCAAATGGCATATACCAGGGAGATGGAAGCTCCAGAAATTTCAGTAAGCGATTGCATCACAGACACATCCGCCATTGATTTGTCCTTGAAGCTTTAAATGTCACACGATGACTTCAACTTTTTTCTTAATCTTCGTGTTTTGCTATTGAATTGGAGCAAAGGTAATGCAGGAGAGAGGGAGGGGAAAGGGAGGGGGAAAAAAAAAACCTTTTTCGGTGTATGCGTTTTAAGACTGAAACAAAAGAAAAACATCAGCTTTTCCATTACCCTTTCGGTTGTTAATCTCAAAACCCTAACCAGAACGCTGAAACATATGTTCTGTTCCATTCCTAAAGGCGTTTCATCAATCTCTCTCTATCTGGGCCGTGTCAGATCTTCAAGCCTTGTTCCTGTCCAAGTGTTCTTTAGTTAGTATGATACTTCATGTTATGATCAAATCTCTAATTGGGTCTAAGGAAACATCGCCTTTCTCATGGAACTCAGATTCGGTTTCTATTTCTTAGAAACTCTTTCTAAATCGCACATTACAATTAAATTCCTTATTAAACACTGACATATGTTTCCAAGGGCTTTATACTTAATTTGCAATGAAACGTATATTTATTCATATGTTTTTATTTATATTACGTCGAATATCACACAATACTATGGTCCGGGGGACACTACAGTAGTTTCCATGCAGAGTTCGTAATATATAATGTTATGTATTTACATATAATGTGAAGTCCGTGTACCGGACGTAGAAGGCCAAGATATGGGGATGGATTCTCCAACCTATTTGGACATCATTTGCAGTAAAAGACTATACGGGACTTTTATTTTAATTTCAGTTTTTGGTTACATTGAATACCCAAACTTAGGTAGTTCAATAGATAAAACGGGACACAAAACATCTGTCATTCTCCGAATTCAAAACTCAAGTTTGGGGAAGGAGCGTATAATTCAAAGAACATGACTGATTCTCGTCCCCAAAATTAGTATGAGTTTCGGTCCAGATCGATTATAAAAAAAATTAAAATTATATCGAACTCAACGCAAAATTCAAAAAAGAAACGCGTTCCTGGTTCAAGCAATTTAATTGGTAATGAGGGTAACTCGATTAATTTGATTTATAGTATAGTGATTGAAGATAAAACAAATAGCATAGTTTATTAAATATTTTGACCCTCAAAGAGTAAATGGAAAAAACTAACCAGTTCTATTCACTTAACAAAGACAGTCAAATACAACTCATTTTTTGTTATAAAAATTGTATTCACCACACACACCCAAAACTCAGATTTGCTCGAGCTCTATTTCGTCGGATTCTTCTCCTAAAATCTTTCAAATTTGTTGAACCTACAACAATCACTTAACAACCAAAACAACTCGTGTAAATAATTACACTAACAGTTTAGAACTTTTATGGTTCACAAAATGTATAATTAAAGCGTATATATTTTGTGTGTAAAACATTGTTCTCTTTAGCCAATGGTTGAAATATATTTAATTAGGGATCAAAGATTTTTCCCGAAGTATATATATAACATAGTCCTCGTTATAGAAGGAAAAATAAGAAATTAAAAGAGAAAATTAGGAGACAAAAACGTGAACGGCAGGATTCGAACCTGGGCGTAATTATGACAATGATTTCTAGCCATGCCCCGGAATGGCGGAAATTTGTTAATAAATTTAGTACTATCATATCAACGGTCGATAAAAGCCCTTCAAAAAGCCCATAAGGCCCAAATAACGGCCCGTCTGGAAAAAGGAGCGGGAGGAGTGCACCGTCTGCCTTCTGGTATGATTCCCATTTTTGTCTATAATAGAATTATGTTATCCGACCAAACAATTGATTAGAGAAATAAAACCAAAAAACACGCTTCTTCTCCCGATCAAAAATCGAAGCAGAGGTCTCCAGATTCAACACGATGAATCCAGACTCCGATCATCCTCAACTTCCCACTATCAAGATCCACCACCCTTCCTCCCCTCGCCACTCCTCCTCCTCCGCCGCGACCCCCACTCCCACCGCCGGTGCCCGCCGGAAGATCGGCGTCGCCGTCGATCTCTCCGACGAGAGTGCCTACGCTGTCCGCTGGGCCGTCCATGATTACATCCGCCCCGGCGACGCTGTCGTCCTCCTCCACGTCTCCCCCACCTCCGTCCTCTTCGGCGCCGACTGGGGCCCTCTTCCCCTCCAGAGCCAGCCTCCCTCCTCCGCTGCTGATCCTAACTCGGCGCCGAGTCAGGAGGATTTCGACGCGTTCACCGCCTCCAAGGTGGTGGATCTCGCCAAGCCCTTGAAGGAGGCTGGGTTTCCTTTCAAGATGCACATAGTCAAGGATCACGACATGAGGGAGAGGCTGTGCCTTGAGATCGAGCGGCTCGGTCTCAGCGCCGTTATTATGGGGAGCCGAGGGTTTGGCGCCGAGAAGAAGGGAAGCGATGGAAAGCTTGGGTCGGTTAGCGACTATTGTGTTCACCACTGTGTTTGCCCCGTCGTGGTGGTGAGATACCCTGACGATCGCGACGGAGACGCGCCCGGAAACGCCGGAGGTGTCGGAGAGGCCATTGTGACGATGAAGTCAGCAGCAGGGGAAGAGGATGAAGACGAGTCTATGCCTGCTGCGCATCACGAGCACCTCAAAGGTCAGGATCAATGATCTTATTCTGTGATTGATATGGATTGTGCTGGGTCTGACTCTGATATGTCATTGTACATTGGGTAAATTTCAATACTTTAGGATAGTGTTTGCTGTTACTGTAGTTACTTGAACTATACGAGGTCATCTTGATGGTCGGAAATGGACACTTGGAAAGGTTTTATCGATTTGATGAAAGATATGGCCGAATGCTGATTAGTTTGCTTCTGCACAAGAGGGGGTTATGATTACACTATTTACTGCCGACAGATGAAGAACGGTCTTCTATTCCGTCTGAATGTCATTAGCCAGCAATGCATCATGCACTTCTTGATTTGTGAACAGAGACCTTGGTCATATAGTTCCCGGCAGTTGAAGTTTCCCTCGACATCCCTTTTGTCTTGTCATTGCAATGTGGTACCTTGTTTCACACTTGGGTAGAAGAAATCTGCGTGAAGTGTTATGTCTCTTGCTTTCTTTTCTTCATTGATTGAGCTTCTTCCTCGAGCTGGACTTATAGAAGTTGTGGTTGTCTGCAAACCATGCATGTTTAACTGATCTATACAGTTACCCTAGGATTCCTGTTCCCTGCAACTCGTGCGAACTAGCTTTAGCATTTATCTCATTTCAGGCTTCATTTTTGTCAATCATTAGATTTGTTCATGGCCTGTTGTTAATATTCCAACTTCATATAGATTGTCCGTTAATATATAGATTCCGTCAGATGCCTAAATTTTGGTCCATCAAGATTCAAAAATGCATATTGTGTGTGGGGTTTTGTTTTGCCGTGTTCCTGACTATGAAGAAGCACTATTTGCTTGGGAATATATGAATTGAACTTGTCAGTCATCGCGAGGAAAAAATCAGTTGGGGTCGTTTCCCTCTCTCCTATATTCTTAGAAGCGACTTTGCAAATTTGTCTAGTGAATACTAATTCTTATATGAAAGTTTTGTTTTTTCTGAGTTTCTGATGCATGTAGTAGCCTTATCCCAGTGGTTGAAAGAAGTGGATATAAGTTGATCTTTATCCGTCGATTTTAATGGATTCTGGATAAGGGCATTCCGGATTTTCTCTCCTCTCATATATAAAGTTGTGATATCTTCGTTTCTGTTTGTCTAACTACAGATGATTAAACCCTATCGGCTTCTCCCTCGCCAGCCACCGCAGGTATGTATATGTATGAACCTGTCCACTATAGTCGCCTTTTCTTTCCATAGTTCTCTTCAACACCACACATAGTTCTTGCAAGCCCTTTGATGATCCTTTCTTCGTCTTTTTCCGAAAATCCAGAAGGCATGCAAGGCTTTGGATCATCTTTTGGATTGTTTATGAGGAGGGTCTGTGAGTTCATCTTTCGGTACCACGGAGTAGTCGAATTCTCAGTTTGATCTCTCTCTTACGAATGTGTTACAACCAAACATGACCCTTTGGGGGGGGGGGGCATATTATATCTCTCAATATGATCGGTTGCTTTGTTCCGTGTTTCTCTGTTTTTGCTTCCATTTTCGTTTTGTAGCTTCTTGGAACCTCTCATTTGTTCTGTTGACTTTTTTTTTGGGTGGGGGTGGTTTGACAATCTCTATTATTTTTAATCCAATAGTCAACTTTGGAAACAGGATGAGACCGGCAGATTAGGTTATTTGGTTAGATTATTTTTCATTTGAATTTTACAGTAAGAAACACGATACACAATCCCTTGTTCTTGTTTTTTATTTTTATTTTTATTTGGAGGGCCATCAAATGTGGCATCTTTCCCACTAATTTTGCAAAGAAAGTTGAGAAGAGCAAGGCATATGAGGGCCACATGTTTTTATAATTATAAAATACAATGTCTCAAAGGGGATTGGTAAATAATGAATTGAAATCCCCCTCCCCTAAGGCTCTTTTCTAATATCTTCATGCTTTATAACCCGTCAAATATCATATTAGAAAGTTTGAAATGTAAATCCCATGAAAATTGTTTTTTTTTTTGGTATAATGTGAATTGCATTCCAAAAAAAAAGGTTTTCGTTTACACACCGATCATTTGACCGTATTTACAAATCAAAATTACATAACAAGAAATATTATTTTTATATTATTATTATTATTATTATATGCTCAATTTTGACGATAGAGCGACGAAGGTAATTCTTCTTTTGTATTTTATGCCTCAAAGAGGGAAGCCAAACTATGGAGGCCAATGGGTTTGCAACTACTCTCTGACCATTCCATTGGGCTGAAGTGATGAGTGGAACCCATGTTGTTGTACTGCGAGGGGGAAGTATCCGCAAAAAAAAATAAAGAAAAAAAGGAAAAACAATAGTACAATATATATAAAAAAAAAACACGTGAAGTGGGAATATGGTGATGATAAGCTAGAAAGTGGGCGAAAGCATCAAATTTGGACCGCCGAGAACCATTTGCAAGACACGACAGAGGTTCAACGTTCTTGCCAAATGATGTAATAAAATTTTAAAAAATACCCATGAATTAAAACCATATTTTTTTGGGGGGAGGGGGGTTGTATGTAACCATGCAGGCCCCACAAGCCTTTGTTTGAGTGGTCGCAGTTTCACATAACGTCAATCACACACATAATGCAGACCTCTTCTGTACCAAGAGATTTTTCCATCTGTCCAATTTCTCTAACCCTTTTGAATCATAGCCTTAAATCACATTTAACTCAATTTGTAATGGCGACCATCCAAAACCATACTATTTGAAAAATCTGGAATCTTTATGAAATAACTTTATTCGAGCAAACAAATTAATTGTTTCATTAGAGATTTACACAATCATCGCTTTAATCATCATATGTTTTCTGTTTATGTAAGATTTGAGAGGACATTGGTCATTGGGAAATGGAAAAGGAAAAGTGGTGGGTGGGATAGCAGGGAGGACAAATACCCAAAAGCAAAATCAACGGCTGTGATCTCTGCTCATTTGGGCAAGATCGTGACCGTCCGATGATGGATCTGTGTTTCATCTCATGATGGAGTTTGATAACAGCCGTTGCTCTCGATGGGTTTGGCCATTGCCGTCTGTTGACGATCGCTTCGATGGTCGATAATTGTTGGAATCGTGAGGCGAAGAAGAGCAAGCGATCTCCTCCTGCATTTCAAAAAACATGAATTTCGCTCTCCGTTACTTCCTGTTTGTTTCCTGGGAAAATCCACATGGATGATTGCAGAAATAAATCCCGGAATCGATTGATTTAACAGTGGGAACCCAAGCTATAATCCGTATTCAATCATCTCAGATTTCTGGAAAAAAATTATTTCAAAAAAAAATTCTGGAAAAATTTCAACAAATCACCCAAACGAATGAAGAATGTTTCATACATCGGAGTAAAGAAGATCGGGATTCCTCTTCGCCGTCAAACACCCTCCGCCGCGTCGAGGGAAAGCCTCAACGCCGCCTCCGCCACTGCTGCTGACCGAAGACGACGAGCTCGCCACCGGCGGCTGTAGCGCCGCCGCCCACGGAACCACCTGGTTCTCCGCCTCGTCATCCTCTTCCTCATCATCATCATCGGTGTACTCATCATCATCGTCGTCGTCGCCGTCTTCCTCACCATCATCGTACGATTCCGCGCCGCCATCGTCGCCGCCGAACCGATCTCCGTCATAATCGTGACGGTTGGTCTCCTGGCTCCGATTCTCAGACAGATCGGTGCCGTTTCTACTGCTGCTGCCTCCGCCGGTGTTCTCGAGGGAGACGCAGGAGTCGCAGGCGGAGACGATGGGGCCGAGGCGGGGACCGGTGGCCTTCCATGGCGTCGGACACTGACACGAGCTGCAGAGGAGGCACCGCGTGTGCTTCGCCACCAGGAAGTTAGCTCCATGAACCTTGTGGTCGCAGTCCCAACACAGACTCGCCTGGTCCGACTCGCAGTACATTCGCGCGACACCTCCACAAAGCTCACACTTTTTGTTCATCGTATAGTTTCTCTCTCTCTCTATATATATATATATATATGCGCGTGTATATATATGGAGATTCTCTTAGTTTCTTCTTTCTTCTTCTCCTCCGCCTGTTGTTTCTTCTGCGGACACAAATAAGGGCGAAGAAGACGGGAAGGGAAAGTTGCAAGTTGTAGAGCAGAGAGGCCTCTCTATTTCGTGGCCGTAATTTATTTCGAGGGTACTTTCGCCATTATAACCCGCAAAAAATCTATTTTTAAATATTACCTCAAAGTTTTAATCTCATTTTTTTAACGGAAAATTGTTTTTGGATAATTATGGGTTCTGTATTATCCTTACCTGGGGTTTTATAAGAAAATAAATATTACTTAAATATTAAATCTCGAGCTGTTTCTGTTCTCTCATTGTTGACAAAGGCGTACGGGTTGCTTATACGTGTCGGACTCTGATTCGTTGGTCTTCAAATTCAGATATTTTTCGGGGGAGGATGAGAGATTTGGGAGATGACGTGGCAAGACCTAATGAAGGGGAGATCCTGAAGAGTCCTATGTGGACGAATCAGGTTCTCAAATGGGGTATGGAGCCATGTGAGCCCACCTGGGATTTGTCTGGATCTTGGACACGTTTATTGGGCCCCACTCTCTCTCTCTCATCCTCACCATTTATTTTTCCATTCCTTTTTATTTTCTAATTTCTCATTTCTTTTTTTAAGTGTACGATTGTATAATAAATGATGATGGCGATTATTTTAAAGGAAAATCTTAAAAATTATTCATCTATCACTTAATTATCAGTTTATATCTAATTTGATACGAATTTACTTGATATAAAAGATAATCAATAGAAATAATAAATTTTTTTAACAACACGTGATTTAAATAGTTTTAATAGATGAAAATCTTCTAAATCTAATTTAAATATGATTAAAATATTTTGAAACATGGTATATAAGACACTAAATACGAATGATGAACTTATTTTGGTCACAGTTTACTATCGATCATGAACGACCGATCGTATCCTTCTGAATACGGTCTCATTTTAGTCCGAGAGTACAAACGACCCTTCGTCACTTTGATAAACTACCGATCGTGCCTTCTGAGTGTTTATCAATTTTACTCCGAGTGGACAAACGGTTCGATCGTTCCCACGATGATCGACGGATCGAATGTTTTGAGCGATTCGACAATTTTCTTAGAGAGGACGATCGATCGATCGCTCCATAAGTGATGACCGATTGTGATGAAAATTACGTGATTTTCTCTAAACTCACTGTTTTGAGATCTTTATGGTTTTAGTTTATTTATTTTTGCCTTTCATTGTAAAATAACCATTTTTTCTTATCAATTTGAGAGTTTTTCTTTAAAGTTTCTTAAAAAACTATAGCAATCGAACTCATTGAATCACATAAAAGTTTATTCAACTTATCAAATACTAACCTTGTGTCTGCGCCGTCATTTAGGACGTCACGAATTCTATCTACATTTGCGTTATTCGGTTATTAGAGTTATTGGGATTTTATTCCTATGGTCTAGAAATCATATATCACCTAAAAGGGTATTTACCCTCACATGCCGAGAGTACTTCACTTTGATCTTGACTCTATACTTCTAGCGGCTTTAGAAACAAGGCACATTATTTTCATTTTTCCAATTGCATTGAACTCATAGAGAGAAAAAAATAGATAGAACTCGAATAAAAAAATGCATAAAAATCTGTGAGAAGTTTATCGACACATATTCTTGAATAGAAAGGTCTTCATAATATATGATCCACAATAGAGATGAAACCTCACTGAACGACGACAGGTTTCACTAGTAGTTCTGCGGATACCCTTTAAGTCATTTTATAGACAAAAACAAGAAAAGAAAAGTATTCTTGTGATTAGTATGAATGTGTAAGGTTTAAAGGTAACCTCGTGATCTATAAAAAAAGTATTCTTTTGATTCGTTGGAAGACCATTAGAATATTTTTGACTGGAGATCGTAGAAATGGAATGGGTTGGTTCAATCTTGGGTTTAGTCATGTAACATCAAATTTTCTTAGCTTGAACACTACTCTAGAGATGTCAAAATGGGTATATCCAACACGTTTAATCCCGAGCAGTTTGGATTAATAGATTTAGGGTTCGACTGGTTGTACCGCAGCGGTTACGGTTGCGGGTGGCAGCGTTTTCAGAACGTTTGATAGCGATTATAAATGATTAATACTGACTGGTTGAGAAGTTGTTGTTGGTAGCGATTGCGGGTGGGTGCAGTTAGAAAGGAAAGGTTCATTACGATTGCGGTTATATTTTGATATAAATTGTCAAAAAAAATATTATTTAAAAATAATTTTTTATAATAGTTTTAATTAAATTTTTTGTATCATTTGATAAAAATTATTTACTAAATTTATAATAATTAAATAATAAATTTAAAATATAAATATTATAACAAAATCATCACAAATATATATATTAATGTTTTATATAATTTCTAATAAAAATATTTTAGTTTTTTTGTCAAAACGCCGGAAACCGCTACCAAAACGCAAGTTGGAAGCTGCGATTAGAAAACACAAGTTTGGTTGCGATTGCGGTTGGTTGCGGTTCAACCAGTCAGTTTTTCAATCGCCCGCAACCGCCGAAAATCGTAACCGCTCCGTTTGCGAGTGGCGGCGGTGCAACCAGTCGCCCCCTTAATGGGTTGGATTAATTATCTTCAAAACCAAATGGGTTGGGTTAGCTCAATTAACATATTCGGTCTAATTGATTTATTAATTACCATATTTAGATTTGGATGGTTTTAATTTGGATTTAAAAAAAAAAAAAATTGGTTCGATTCATATTGAATTCACATTTAGTTTTTAAATAGAATTTCGATCAATTCGGATTTAATTCAAATTTGTACATGGAGTTACATTCGATTCAAATTCATTTTTTTTCATATGATTTTATTTGATTCGTAGTCGATATCGAATTCGGTTTTTACGTATGATTTCACTCGATTCGGATTCGATTCGATTCAATTTCGAACATAGGATTACATTCAATTCGAATTCCATTACATTTCGGTTTCTACCTATGATTAAGTTCGATTTGATCGGAATCGATTTAGATTCGATTTTTATATAGAATTTCGTCCAGTTTGAATTCACACACATATATATATATATATATATGATTACGTTCGATTAATAGTCAATTTTTATATAATTTCATTCAATTTGAATTCAATTACAATTCGATTTTTATATAATCAAATAATTTAGATTAATTGTATAGTGGGTTTGTTGGGTTTGTTGGGTAAACCCATTCAACTCATAACCCAAATAACCGAATGGGTTAAATCCATCTAATCCATTTAATAAAATTAACCAAATGGGTTGAACCACAAACTATTATTATTGGGTTGAGTTGGATTAACCCATTTAACGCAACCCAATTAAATCTCTAAACACTACAAAAAAATAGATGAATCCTAATTGATTAATCTGTTTAAAATTTTCTAACAGATTTTCGTTGGACACATTCCAACGGGAATTCAAGGATAGTGCAAAGAAGACGTCCGTTGAAAATCCGTTTAAATTTGCAATAAAATTTAAAAAATTTCAATGGTATTTTTTACGTATATCCGTTGAAATAAACGACCATTGGATAAATTGTGCTCCATCGGTTATCCGTTAGAAATATCAATGGATATTCATCAAAATTGTTGACGTTAGCAGAATCTAACGTTCAAAGGTCATCCATTGATATTTTCAACGAATGTTTGTTGGAAGGTTGATTATATATAGTCATCTGCCACTCGTTTCTTAAATCATTTTCTCAATTCATTCTACTATCGTTTTGTCATCCACAAAATCTATAAAAATATCTTCTTCATCAAATAGGAATGTTATTACATCGCAAAAATGGATGCTGAAGAAATCATAACCTCAGGGTAAGAGGAAGATCCTTGCAGGTGTGACACTGAAGAAATCGTAATCTCAAACAAATTCAACAAATCAAAATGCTTTCAATGGAGATTTGATTTGTATCAGGACCTTATCAATCAGCAACATCATAGATGTTAGGTAAAGTTATGAAATGTTTGATGAACAATGACCACGATGTTTACCGCCTTCTTTTCCTATTTTGAGAAACTATTACAACCTCTTTCAAAATTTCATCCTCTGGTTTTAGATACCTTGACATATTCCAAACACAGCATCCCACAACGATCATTTTTCAAGTTATCTAGGGTACCAATTTTGGCCTGCAACCTAAATTTATTCTAAAATATCGGGTTTTGGGTCTAAATTTTTTGTTCCAAAAGTATTTGATTTTTCGGTTTAGATTCAAATCAAATTTCGGGCCTAAAAATTTTAACTGATTTAGATTTTTTTAAAAATAAACTAATGCCAAAGTTTTTAAAAATATCTATGAATCTTATAGGATCGGACTTCAGACGTATAGGTACGAAAAAAATCAGACGGACTAACCCAAAATCTTCAGACTGAGTGCGGACGCAGACAAGACCGACCCATTTGACATCCTATCCAGACACAAGCACAAGATACTTTCGAAGAGATCGCATGCCTCTGTACTTATGTGACAGACTTATCTTTGTTCGAAATCTGAAGCATGCTACCCAAAGAATTGACAGATTTCAAAGGCATAAGAGGAGATTCACAATGGTCAACCACCTGAAACATTTCATGGTGGATTTTGGAACATCCATTTCTGTTTCCAACACATTCTTGAAAGACCATGACTGTAACTCCGGTTTTGCATACAAAATGGACATCGGAAAAAACAAGTCTCCGGGACAAAGATCAAGTGATCAAAAGAAGTTATCATTTCACAACTTATAAAAGATACACTTCATATATTCACGCAACTTAAAAGCTTACAGATACTAAGAACACAACGCAAGAGAAAAACTGGAAAAGATAAGAAGGCATATCACAACCCTAATCAATGAAAAAAAAGGCTAAAAGAAGCAAGTTCTAGCGCTAAAATCGCAGGGGCAGGGTTTGAGGCTTCACATCCAAATGTGTGGAAAAGAGACAGATCTTTTCCATACATGCCAGGATTAATCTTCATCAGCGGGCTTTGAGGGTCCAGTTTTCTTAGGGAGGAGGAGATTGTGAATGTTGGGCATTACTCCTCCATTGGCAATGGTGACATCGCCAAGAAGCTTGCTTAGCTCTTCATCGTTCCTCACCGCAAGCTGAATGTGTCGAGGTACAATTCGGGTTTTTTTGTTGTCCCTTGCTGCATTTCCAGCAAGCTCAAGAACCTATCAATGACAACCAAAGTTCAATATCACATAACCAAGAATCTTTCAAACAGTACAAACAATTTACAGATAGTCTCAAAATTAGTCAATCGTATTGAGAAATCCAAGAAGACTTTAGCCCAAGTAAGTTAGAACCTCCGAAACCATGATGTTAACTAAGTCTGATTTCAGGTATCCCGAACCCAGATGGTACAGCAGAAAACGAAGGCGTGTGGGTTAATAAAGAAGAAAAGGGAAAGAACAGAGAATCGATTATCAACCAAACGGAAATTTCGAACTCGGTGTGAATCCGAATCCAACTCGTGAACGCAGAACCATGAGAAATTAGGCTAGAGATCAAAATATGCGAATAAATTTAAATAAACCTAATCTAATTTTAGAAACAATGGGCAGAATTTCGCGTACAAGAGACTTGATGGAAGAGACGTCACACAACAAATCCCCAAACCTAATATTGAAATCTCACAAAAATAGAGTTCAAATCCCCTAGTTTCACCAGGGCATGACGACAACCAATAGGGAAAAGAGAGACCCTTGACGATCAGTCAATTGACGAGAACGAGCAGAAATGAAAAGACAATAATCACCTCCGCCGCGAGATACTCGAGAACAGCGGCGAGATATACCGGAGCTCCTGCCCCGACACGCTCGGCGTACTTCCCAGCCTTGAGGAACCGAGCGATACGACCGACAGGAAATTGAAGCCCAGCCTTGCTGCTACGTGACGTAGCCTTCTTCGATGCTCCAGATCCCAGGGTTTTTCCCCGACCCGCCATTATTACGACCAGAAGCTTTCACACGAAGGAGGGGAAGAGCAACGGTTCGATCGTTCCCACGATGATCGACGGATCGAATGGAAAATATATACAGCTGGAGGGTAAAAATATTAGCCAATAAGATGAAAGTGCGAGGATGTATAGAATATACCGTTGGATGGGAATCAAAGGAAGGGCTGAGATTTGAAGTAAGAGCACCCGCCACATTCCGTACGACGAGACGAACTCCGAAATTTTCACGAAAAAGAAATGCCCTTTTTAAAATGAATTGGGCCTACAAATGTTAATGGGCTTAGATAATTATTTCTCCATAATCATTTTAATATATAGCTTTATTCGCCCACGTCTATTTTTTGGGTGTCATGCCCAAGACCTCAGAAATACTATGCTACGACCATTTTTTTTCCATGAAAATATGCACATACAAGTATACATACATGTATACATACATACATATACCTTGTGTATCATAATAATGTCTTCTCTAAATTATCAAAAAATATTATAATATATGTTCAGGATACATAATTGTATTACGGAAATAAAATAGATTTGATGGATTTATTGCAATAGTCATATGCTTTTTGTTTGAGGTAAAAACCCATGTTTCATACAAGCATGTACCGTTTGGTGTATGATTTCTTCAACGCCAAATTTGTATTCAAACCCCAAATCTATTAGCTTCTTTGAAGATATCAGAGGGATCGTTGGTTCCTCCTTCTCTCCCTCCTCATCCACCCTGCAACCAAAAAACAATTATTGTTATTATTTTTGAAATTAACAAATCAATATATATATATTCATGTCATATTTTTTTCAAATAAACATTAGAAGAATCTTATTCTTAATTATTTCATTCAACACATGAAAAACATAGATGATATCGAAAAATTTACCTAACATTCAGATACGATTTCATTTACCAGCAGTGGAATACATATTTCACGTGGTACAATGAAGGCACTAAGGGTAGAGATATAACTTACATTTGAATTTTAGAGAAATTAGGGTACCCCTTGGAGAGATGATGAATCAATTGGGACATAACACAGGAGCCAACGCAACAGATGTATTGGCCTCGAGCTTTTTGGTGTTGCATCAAGAAGAGATGTGCATTGCAAATATCTTCAATGTGGACCAAAGCAATGGAACCCATCCTGTTCTTCACAGCAGACAATATTGAGAAGAACTTCGGATCACCTGCTCTTTTTTTTTTTTTTTTTTATAAATCCCGTATGTTATGCATTAGATCATATTTTTCAATATCTTATCATTAGAAATGTTGGTTTTTCACAATTGTGCAACCTGTAATTGGGGACAACATGACTTGAATGCTTGAGGGAACACAAGGAGTGAGGAATGGACCAGACACAGTAGTTGTAATGACTGAGACAAGATCCATCCCTTTCTTCTTCGCATATTTGAACGCTTCTTCCTCCGATATGAGCTTCGAGAGTACATACACCTATCTCACAATCCATATCACGCCTTCAAAACACACTTCTAAGTTGCCATATAGTCGGTAGTTCAATGTAGAATGTATGTATGTATGTATGTATGTATGTATGTATGTCATGAAAGATCAAAGGATATATATGACTGTTAGATGTTACCCATCCACTCGCTCGGGTTCTGTTAACATGGTCTATGGTGGTCTTGCAAGTTTCATCCACAGTAGATATCCACTGTCCATCAATCTCATCCTTGGCCGTGAGAGTACTAACGGATGATGTGAAGACAACTCGTTTCACTGATTTAGACACCAAACAGGAGCCAAGCACATTCTGTACTCCCCTTATTGCCGGATCTATGATTTTGCTTTGGACATAACTCTCTGTGACACCCACAAAATAACACCAAAACTGATAATTAACTTCCGGTCTTTCATGAACAAGACACATATTCTATTGATCTTGAAGTTTTGGATTGGTCTATATATGTTTTTTTTTTTTTAATCCAAGTAGGAATATCTCAGGAGTGATCAATACCAATTAGGGTATTACCGATATTTTGATTGGGTGCGAAAGCGAACTCCATGGAAGCTGCCACGTGGAAGACGCCGTCACAGCCCTTCACGGCCTCGTCAAAGCTGCCATCTTCTTGGAGGTCAGCTCGGAACAATCTGATCCGTTCGTTATCGGTCCATTTCGATAGAAAATGCTGAGATTTTTCTGTCATGTAAAGCTCTTGTTTTAGTGAACGTTGCAAGAAATATTAATGGTGCCTAGCACGAACCAACCCGTTTTGCATCTCTATTACCATACGTAAATTTCTAGTGGCATCGGATTTTTGGATTAGATTCTTTACTCACTCTTACATATTTATCTTTATATATCCGGATGCGGACGTGGTACGTCGCATTTAGATTTTAGAGTCACTCTATACATTTGTCTATTTTTCACTATACGCGCATTTCGATATAAGAATCGTAACTAGAAAACGACTCAATGTTTATATCACATGAATTTATACATTAAGTTTTTTTTTTGTTGCCACCTACCATAAAATCTCTTTTTATCCAGGATTGGAATCAATTAAACAATAGTGAATTCATGAATAGGCAGAGTATGTAACCAAATTGAATATGATATAAGAATCAAATAATTATGATTTGTTTAAAAGTCACTGCAAAATCGAAAACAATCCTAAATCGAATTTAATAAAAAAATAACCGAAAATCAAATTTTTTTTAAAAAAAAATGAAAAGTTCTTCAATAAAAACCAAAATATAACCAAACCGAATCAACTTTAACAGAAATATTGAATGATAATAGCTTTTTAAAAATAAATAATCAAATATGAGTATAAAAGCGAAACATAAAACGATCACCTCTTTATCGTAATGGAAATCATTGGGATCAGATCCATGAGACTAACAAAGTGAGGGGTTTGCGTTAAACATCAAATTTCCAATTTTTTGGGAAATTTCAATTTTTATTTTATAACGGTGGGAACCCGCCATACGGCCTTTTGGACCGGACCCCGGCCGCCCCAGCCCTAAGGCCGGACAGTCGGTATGTCGACAGTAAATCCCCGATCCTGCGCAATAGCTGACAAACCACGCAGAGCAGTTAAATCAGCCGAAGCTGACCGGCTCAAAAGGAAATTCAGCATCGGTGAATTTCGAACTCACAACCTCGTAATTTCAATTTATTTTGATAAACCGAGTTTAAGAAGTTTGTACATAAATGGTACATATACGTATAATGGACGGATCATGCGTAAGGATAGGCATAATCTCCTTGATCTAAGATTATATGTAAATCGTGAAAGAAGAAGAGTAAGATGAAGAAGAAGATACCAAAATCTCTAAGAGTGGCATGGACAGTGTACCCTCTTTGGAGAAGAGTCTCGACCAGCCACGAACCAATATACCCACTCGCGCCCGTCACACAATACGTCGCCGTTTCCTCTCTCTTCATCTTCCCCCCCTTCGAAGCCCTTCTCGCGAGAGAGAGAGACGGTGACCATAAAGCGAGCAAGGTCGGTCATTATATATTAAACAAATGCCCCCCCCACAAAGGTTGAATAATTAATTATTATTGCGCATCATTATTGTATCTTTATTTTTGTTTTATGTATGATATTTATGATGATTCCAAAGATGTGTCTTCCAACGTGACATTTGGAAGCTACACACCTTACTCTTTTGGCTTCATTATTATATTTGGTCAAATTTGATTCCATTACCTTACATCACGTGAGTCCCGGGACTGGTCGTAAAGAAAGACATATTTTTGGAACACAAATCACGTTATTACCAAAGAAAACACATTTTTGGAATACAAATCACACTATTACCAAAAAAAATCGTATATATCTTTGTGGAGTTTATACAGTAACATTGTATATATGCATGCATGTGTATTTGCGTCGTTAGGGAAGTCAACCGCCCAATTTATTGATTAGCTGTTTTTTGAATATTTTTTCCAAAATACCACAAAAAATGTGATATTTTCCGAATATGCTTTATAACTAAAAGTATACCGTTGTCGTTTTTGGTCTTGTTCGTACAAACGAAACGGCAGGCGCTTTCCCTCTCAAACAGAGAAACGACAACCAGTTTGTCAAAACGGCGATAAAACTGGCGGTTCTTTTCACTGTGTTAAATACAAGGAAAACAGAGAAACATTGTAAATTTGTAATACACAGCTGGAAGAGCTAAATGGGAAGATAGATGAAGAAGAAGGGAGATTGAGGTGCTAAGAAGCGGTGGCCGAAGTGGTGGCTACTTCGGTGCTTTCTTTATCCTTAGTCTCCTTAAGTTTCTTCCACGTCTCTGCACTGTCGATGATTTCCCTTGTTTTTACGAGGTACCTTACCTTCTGCCCATCTTCGAGGATTTTTTGACCCACCAGGCTCCGCAAGTTCTGTTCTTTCGTTCGAGCTGTGGATCGGCGCTTCAACCTGGAAAAAATGAGAGATTTCCAAACACCCATCATTCAGTCCTTGAACTCGAAACATGGAAAGTGAGGAAGGATGCTATGGAGTGTGTATGTATATTAGTGATGGACAAAAAGTTTAGTGCAACTTTTAGCAAAAAGGGGCGTGTGGAAAGGCTGCCAAATGAACAAGAAGGGCATTCTTCTGTAAATGATATATTTATCAGGGTGGGCCATCGGGATATTATAAATGATATATAAGTAGATAAACGGTTACATTCGGTTTATTCGGTTACGGTTAATTGGGGTTCAGTTTTTCAGCTTACGCTTATTTCGGATTTCAAAAAATTATAACTAAATCGTTATTTAATTTTAATCACTTCGGTTCGATTCGGATATATATCGATCGGGTTCGTTTTGATTATTTTGGATTCGGTTATTTTGTCATCCATACCATCCTCCTCTATCGTCGTCGAAATAGAAATCTCACGAAAATTTTCACTCTTCACCAAATTAACAACTCTTTTTTTAGATTAGATTAATATAAATGTTTAGATTACGGCATTAGTATATGAAACTATGATTTCTGTTTGATGTAGCATTTTAATAGACATTGGTGCAAAAATATTTATTAATTTCCAGAATTTCTACTATAACCAATATTGATTGACAATCTCATTCTTTTTTATTAATATATAATTTCATTTCAGATATAAAGAAATTATAAACATAACTATCTTTTCAAACTAAAATTTTTAAATCAAAACATGTAATTTTCACAAAAATATATTTGATTTTATCACATGTCTATTCAAACACTAAATATTGATGACAATTATCAGGATTTAATTATTTTTTATAAAAATAGTCAAATTATATGGATAAATAAAATTTTATACTATGGATTATAGTTATTGAGATTTAATAGATGACAATTATTAGGATTTATATAAATTTTTATAAGAATAGTCAAATTATTTGGATAAATAAAATTTTATACTATAGTTATTGAGATTTAAAAATTTTAACAAATGAAATCAAATTATTTGGATATTAAAATTTTATTTCTTTTTATTTTTGGAAGAGAAATAAATTGAACATTATAAATTTATTTTATTTTAGAAATTTTGATTTATTCTTTGACATAATTTAAGTTGAATTGAATTATTTATAAAATATTATTAATATCTATCAATAATGAATTAAACAATAAAGTAATTATGGTTTAATTAATTAAATGGATTTGTTGAATTTAATTGGATTTTATAGATGAACCCAATCTATTTAAGTTTTATTTTGTTATTGTTGGGCAGGATTCAAAATATCACAAAACTCCCATATAGGTTTGGGTTTATTGGACTGCGCTGCCAAATTTGACAAGTCTAAATTCTAGCATCTTCTGCAACAAAGTTTTCATCTTCCTTTATTCTGTGTCATGTCGTGCGTGACCTCTGGAGCTTTCTTACCGTTTAAACGTTTCATGATCATATGGAAACGGAATGAACGAAAAAAATCTCACTCGAAAATGGAAACTTCTCCGTCCCAACTGCAAGAAGCGATAACGTTGCTTAAAACCGGGTGATGAGCAATGTCGAGGCAGGGCTGTTCATAAGCCTTTATCTTCTTGATGACATCCGAGGATTTGTAGCCGTAGATGTATATGGAACCATCGGCAGAGCCTGAGGCTAGGGGTTGGCCATCCGGG